TCAGATGTATACCTCAGATGCAAATGTCACTCATGTATTTTGTTTGTTTTTTGTTCATATTGAAGTGTCACGGTCTAAATTACCTATTCTATATGTATAAAGCATGTATCAGAATCATAGATAAATCTCGTGATCTGAAACATCATCAATTATAAAACTTATCATATTATACATAGATAATAATTGATACAAATATCAAACACTCTAAAAGAAAAATTTCTTCGATCCGGCGAACTAACAACATCGCTAAACCGGTGCTACGGAACTAGTCAAAATAACTACAAAATAATGGAGTATAGCATTGACGTACAATTATATGGACGTCGGGTCCGCGCTAAAAAGTGTCCGCACTTGTAAGGCGCTAAAATCGTATACAGAGCGCGACACTCCGCTTTAGTCTTCATTTGTTCTACTGACAGCGCGATACTGCGATGACATTACAATTTAAATTTCGAATAGGTTGACTTGGGACATTTTTTTCGTGGTTTTTGTATTAGACCCGTCGTCCATTTATTTGTAAGTCAATGGAGTATAGTCACAAAGAATATTTGTATGCTATGGTTCTAAAAACATTACGATACTCAATAAAATAAATATTGTTTATACAATTGTTGACAACATTGTCCACTTATTTCATTCTAGTGCAAATCGCTATGCAATTAAAGGTTCATCTTAAAGTAGAGTAAGGCTAATAACAACTCATGGAGCGGTTTTCACGCCCGCCGCGGTTGCGGGACCGCGGCCTCCGAAGAATGTATGCAAAATTTAGTAGCACATTTCACGACGCGTTTTACGCCCGCAGCGGAGACAGTTGCTCGCGGCGGCCGCAAACCGCGCGGGACACGGTCACCCGCGCGCTTGCCGGGCGTCGCCCACGCACTCTGCGATCGGTTCGCGGGCGACGCGTTCCACGCGCGCAGGTTGGGTCTTTCCTTCCCACGCCATTTTGTGATTGATTTTCGATTTGGCAGCGCATGTCAATTTCTCAGGTTATGGATGTTGAAGTCGATCAATTCATTTCCTACCAGTTACCATTTTTCTTAAAAGTTTTGAATAAATACGGACATCCGAATAAAATTAAAGAATTTGTCTTCTTGTTTTTTTAACTCATTAATAAGAACAACGAATGATCCGTAACGATTTCATTCCGGAATCAGAGGATGCAAATCTTTTAGGCCAATTATTTTAATTCTTCGATGAAGTAAGTATAACACGATAGCTCGTTTTTGATGTGAGTCCATGGCGACGCCTGAGATTTAACTGACGATCTCAATCGATCGTAAATAACCGCGCTTCTTGCGATCCTCTACCGCCAAGTTTGCGGGCCGTTCCGCAACCGCGGCGGTTACGTGACCGCATAAACCTGCAGTTTCGTAAGTTGAAATAAAACAGCTGTCCCGCAAACGCTGCGGGCGCGGGCCAAAACCGCTTCGTGAGTTCTGTCTCTTATAAGGTTGATATTCGATTAAGGTTACACTGTAGCATTCAATATAACAGTGACGAGGCGTCCATATAACTCGATTTTCACAGGCTTGCCTAAAATTTTCCACGTACTATCAAATACATTTTGTGGTAAATTTAATGTGTAGAATAAGTTAACCAGTGAAATGAATTATACTGGAACCTGGTGTGCAAAGTATATAAAAGAAGACCACCTCCACCTCAGTCACCTAAAAACATGTTTTGATTTAATAATGCCATCTAATTCGTTAAACGCTGAGCGTATTTTGTTTAAATCAGGAAAAGGTTGATAAAATTCAATATCCTGATAAAAATACGTTTATATCGAGTTCTTAGATTTTTGCGATAATTACACATAGGAAATGAAACTGTTTTTCCGGACTTAAATCGCGTATATTTGTTTTTTCGAACAAACCGACGTTTCGGGCCCTTTACAAGTCCGATGGTCACGGTTGACTGAGGTGGTATAGTCATCACGCAAACCGCTCTATTTTTTCACTATATTTACAAAAGTTATTAATTAAATACCTTATTTTTAATTTTACAAAGAAACATTCTAGGCTTTGATTCTAGTAAAATAGCTCTTTACAATTATTTTTATTGTCATGACAGATCGTGGAAAGTAACCTAGATCTTGAAAAAAAAAATTTTTATCGGAAATCGGTTCTCAAACTTCAAAAATTGTTAAAGTAAAAGGTTGATTTCTAACATGTCTGCCTTCAAATACGAAGTTACAACAAAAAAGTATCACCCGGATCATATCTAATTCGTCAAAACATAATGTATTCAATGAAATCTTTTTGTCTCACTTTGTTATCGGACGATCTCAAGGTGTATTGGTTACTTGTTTGACATTTGTGGAGCCACTACCATTTGCTCGCGACTGATTTTGTTTCACATTGTGTGTTTTTTGTAAATTTGTTTACTTTGGTGCCTAATGATTTAGTTTTCGAAATTTATGTGCGAAAATTAATTTGAATTTTACCATGAGCTTTTCGGAGAAGGAAAACATTATGATGAAACCTGCACGTCGAAGAAGGTTCACAACCCTCGGAGAACTTGTGAAGCCCCGAACCCGCATTGAACTAGTATAGAATATAGGCCATGGCCTATATTCTCGCCTGAAAGGGGATCCGTGCCCGTCAGTAGGAGGTATAAATGGGTTGACGTTGATATTGGATATTTTACATAGACAACTGTAGACATAAAATAATAATGAAACATTTAAGCTTATAAGTTAAGTGCCTGATATAAGATGAAATATTTAAAAAATAGTAAATAACGCAGACACTCATAGGTCCGTATTCTAGAACTCTATTCAATGCTCAAGTCAGGATTGCACTGGCAACACAAGCACTGGAAATACGACTCTAATGGCAGGGACTTGAGTATGATTTCGAGTGCTGTAAACCATACTCAAATCCTGACTTGAGCATTGAGTAAAGTTCTAGAATACGACCCATAGCCCCGCACTGGGAACACCACAAATTATACCCAAACTCACGAGAGAAATAAATGTAGGCCATGCAAATATTTCTCCCGGCCCGGTAATCGAACCCGGGACCTCTGCGTGGCAGACCAGAATGAAACAATCGGAAATTATACGCATTTATGAATACATATTTAGTTTATATAATACTCGTAATTTAAATTAAGAAATTTAAAAGGAATGATAAAGTAGTTGCAAAATTAAATGAACTCAATTTATATGAAAAATTACAGACTTCATAAACAGTCTTAAAAGTTTAATAATATAAAAAAATCACTTGGGTTACCATTTGGTCCATTTGATGGACGAAATAGTAACCCAAGTTTCCATTTTATGATTCAGGACAATGTAGTAATTATTTTATTCAAAAATTCTACGTGTTCCATCCACAGAGTTCCCCTATTGCAAGGTGTTACGCTAATTTCACACATCTACAGCCCACGATTTTAACGATGTCGTCCATATCTATTGATTGGTGTTTGACAATCACTTCGCGATACTGAGAGAAGCACCTGGTAGTAGTCCAAAATCAAATTTACTGGTCGTCCTCAAATCACAGACCAGTAGTAATGGCACCCATACCTAGGTGATCGCTCACCGGCGTCACAGTCACAGATGCGTATCAGACGATTGTGACGCGCCCGATGCACGACTATTTTAATTGGCCCCCGATCTCCAATCTGATAACCTTCCTACAAGATGGCCGCCTTTTTTTTTCACTGCATCAAGCACGTGTTTGACGCTTGTCCGCCGCGTTATTGATTCGACCGATGGCATTTTAATAGCTACGCTAATTGAATACATTGAATTGCCAGTCGGCCTCGGAGTTCCATGTTTACATAGCAAGCTTATAAGGATAATTATTGCCAACACATGTCGGCGTTTACGGTAGCGCAGGGAAACAGTTTCCTTTGTATCGTAATGTCAAGATTCTAACATGCGGGTGGGTACACGCTTTAAACAAAAGCACTGTATTTCACAGTGTGCCGCGACTCGCGACATGGCACCCAGACTCATTTGATATGTTCATAAAAACAAAGGTGCAATGCAGATGTATATCATTTAACGAATCGAAGCTCAGTTTCGCGAACACCGCATAAATGACACCAAGTCACGCCATCTATCTGATCGTGCCCGACAGTCGCAGCCAACAATCACGGACTTATAACTTATTTAGCGGTCAACGCCAACACTAGCAGCTAACGAAGCCGGATAAAGCGCCGAGTATGACGGTCGCATTAAGCCGCAGATAAACCGCATTAGCCTGACCAATCGCACGTCACCGCTCAATCGTAACGACCAATCGGTCCAACCGCGGACTAGGATAGCGTGACCCGAACGCAATCCGATTTAAAGTGCATTCGTTACCGCGAGATGGCGGTCTGTGCCAGCGCACCAATCGTCGCGTCCATCTCCCTGTCGTGCCCATATAATGATCTTCACAGGGGTAGGAGAATGAAGTTGAGCCTCTCATTAATTGGCGTTTTGAGTCGAGATCGTTGCGCGAAAGATAGGTTAATTCCTCGCTCGCTCGAGATCGTTGTCGCTCAAAAAGGAAGGTGAGCGAGCGTTTTCTGGAAATCAGATCCAATTACAAGAGGGCCCGTTAAGGTTTTGTTCTGTTTGGCCGCGGGCGCTCGCGATGTTGATGGACGACTATTGTTCCGCCGGGTATTGACTGAGCGATCGGCCAGTCCGGCAATTTATGCGAAGCTAATCTCACTTGCATTTCTCACATTTGTTAAAGTTAAAAGTGGAAGCGAATCTTGCCCCACCCACACGGTGACATTTACATAGTGCAAGCACGTCTCAATTAGGAGCGCTAATGTATGCCTCGACTCGCGCAGCTGGATCTGAGTGACGTCGACAGATATCGCGGAAACGTGACGAGTGACGACTATCGCGTCCGTCCGCTGCGACTAGCCATCGTCGCTATTAACAGCACTAATAGGGACTGATATTCGACATCCCTCGTTCCTTTACCACCGTCCCATTAGTTACTCCAATTTTCAGGATAAAGTTATTAACAATTCGTTTTTATCAATTTCAGGTGAGGACGAGGAATGGGGAAACGAGAACGAGGCGATGCCGGGAGAACCACGCACGCCGAGCTCAGGAGGCGAGCGACCTGCGTCCAGTGGCGGTGCGTCACCAGTGTCTGCTGCCTCTGCCACATCGCCAGCCGCGTCACCACCGCGCCTGCGCCTAAACGCTAGCCTGGCGACGGACCCGGCATTAGCGCCACAAGCCACTACGCTCAAGCATGAACCGCCTTCACCGTCGCCCCCGCCGGCACCTCCTACACAGCAAACAGCTAGAGATTACCTCGCGTTAACGGCGGCGGCATTTCCGGGTCTATTCAACGCCGCACCTACAGGATATATGTGCAAGCCATGCGGTATTAGATATTCTTCTCTCAGCACACTCCAAGCACATCAAGAACACTATTGTTCAAATCGACGACCTAAGACAGCAGATGGAGAAACGCCTGCCGATCCAGCTGTAGACGAATCTAGTAGCGAGGCAAAAACGCCGCGTCCGCCCGGCAAGCAGTATGCCTGCACTTACTGTTCCTACAGCGCTGACAAGAAAGTCAGCTTAAATCGTCATATGCGAATGCATTCATCGTCACCTATTAGCAGCGGAACTCCAGCGCCCACGCCTACGTCCAATGGCGAAGCTACTGAAGGCCCCCCCGCGCCAGATCGCTATTGCGCCGATTGTGATATTCGTTTCAATTCAATCAAAACGTTTCGAGCGCACAAAACACATTACTGCAACACAAGACAAGTCGTGAAACAAGCCCTGGCTGCTGCTAGAGGAGGTTCAGCTACCTCAGGGTCCGCTCCACCTTCTCCAGGTGCCACTCCTCCAGCACAGAATCAATACGCACTAGCTCTACCGACGAATCCAATTCTCATTGTTCCATACTCATTACTGAGAAGCGCAAGTACACTCCCGGGAACCACATTGCCGGATCCTGACACGCCATGCTTTTTGTTACCCAATGGAACGTTCCAACCCTTAAGTAGAGCAATTCCGAATTTAAATGCCGATGGAAAAGAACCAGAGGTTTTAAAATCAGCCAATCGACCCCGAGAGCCTTCTAGAGACGGTGCTACACCGCTTGATTTGAGCGTGCGAAGATCACCAGAGTCAGTAACGATCGACGATCATGAGAAAGAAAACAGAATAAGATCCGCTACTCCAGAGCAAATTGTTTGTGCTCCATCTTTGCCAGGATCCCCAGGCACTCTATCACCATCACCGAGACGGTCTTCATCTCCCAGTGGTGAGAGCTCCCCAAAACGTAGACGTCGCAATTCTAGAGGACCAACTCCAAAACCACCAAGCATTCCATCGCCACCAGAAGAAAAGTTTACTCCGATAGTACCGGCTACAATATTGCAACCCGCTTTAGCATTGCGCCTTGCGTCAGAGTTGCCTGTCACCACGGCATCGCCTCAAGTGCTAGTCAAACAGGGTGTGTCAAAGTGCAAAGAGTGCAATATCGTGTTCTGCAAATACGAGAACTATCGAATCCATAAACGTCACTATTGTTCGGCTGGCGGTGGGGAAGAAAGAGCGAGTCCTGCACCTCCAGAGCCTGGTCCTCCTCCACAATACCGTCAACTGATCTGCATGGCGTGTGGAATACATTTCAGTTCTCTCGACAACTTGACGACTCATCAGTCTTACTATTGCACTAAAAGAGAGACTAGGTCTCCTCGTAGTGTACCTGAAATTCCGCGCCCAGCGTCAGGTTCTGAAGGGGGATGGAAATGTCCTTGCTGTGAAGTGGTATCGCCGACTGCGGCAGCTGCACAGCGCCACATGGAGGCTCACTCCGGGGTAAAAGCATTTCGATGCACTATCTGCCGGTACAGAGGAAACACACTGAGAGGGATGCGTACTCACATCCGCATGCACTTCCCCAAAAAGCCTGCAGATCTACAGGTGAGTATTTAAGTACAAAACCGTACTAACTAAAAGTTTCTGAACTTTAAATTATTGCTAAGATATCTATAATATCCCTAAAAATAAGAAATCAGAAAAAAATATCAGAAAAGAATACTTTCAGTGATCTGGTAACACCAAAAATCCCCTATAAACATAAAACAGTAGCTTTTCAATTTTTTTCTCGTTCACTTCAGGAAGAGAGCTTCATCGCGTGCGTGCTCGAAGAGGACAACAGGGAAGCCACTTCTCCAAGCCCCGCTGCCGCGGGAGACCGCGTCCACCGCTGCTCTCACTGCGCTTATACCTCGACCTACCGCGGTAACGTCGTGAGACACGCAAGGCTGGTCCACGCTACTGAAGAACCGGAGTCCGAGGAAACATCCCCTGTGGCTGCAGCCCCAGCCTTACCAACCGTCCCAACGGTTGATATTAAAAAGGAACCAGAAACTGAAGTGGAAGAAACACCGAATTACTGCAAATCGTGCGACATCTCATTTAAATACGTTAACACTTACAAGGCTCATAAGCAGTTTTACTGCACTGCTAACAACCAAGAAGCAGCGGCGAATAATAATGTGCCTAACGTTCCTGCACCTCCCCCTGCAAGAGTCAACGATGCACCAGTTGGGTGAAATTTCCATTTATGGATAGACCTTTTAAGTTTACATGCTCCATTTTACTACCAACTGAATAATGGAGAACTTAAAGCCGATATTAAAAAGCAAGCACGAGCATGACATATACCTAACTAGCACGGCATAACACATGCTTCAGCTTAAAGGGCATTTTCTTCTTATTATTAATTAGTACAGTAAGAATGTATCTCGTTCGGATTTATAATCAAATAATGTGCAATAAAAATTTATATTAAAAACGATATTCAATTAATCATGTACTGCATATCAAAGCCAAAATCGAAATTTAGAACTCAACGGTTCGAATGAATGATTGAATGAATGGAAAACCTTGGCTAATGTACATAAGCCCTCATTTTAGAATAGGATTTTGTTACAAAACTTGTTACTGTATAAAAACTAGTTAGAAAAGTTGAAAACCTCTTCGTCTTCGTATTAGTATACGTTAAAATTTACCAAATTGTAAATATTTGTAAAGATATTATTACTCTGTAACTAAATTTTATTACCATTTGTTCTAAGTGATTGTTCTTTCTTTGTTGTTAATTTTTGTTTAATATTAATTAATTATTAGAAAATTTAAAGTACTATTATGCATTTGAATGCTCATTCCGTGATGTTTTTTTTACCTGCCAGTGGTTTCTCAACATAAAACTAAAAACTGTATCCCATCTGGGCTAAAAATAGAATTAACGTTTACAAAGCAGGTATTGTGATACGAGTATATTGCCTGCATAGACCTAATTTTCGCGATTCTAAGGCAAAATTTGTACAAATGTGAAGCAGTAAACTTGTTGTGAAATTTAGCTTACGTAAATATCAATAAATGGAATTCCACTACAAAGAATTCTATTACAAGAAAAAGACTTTCAAATCGTAAATAACGTATGACAGCAAATAGCCAGAACTTCTTAGCGTTTGCACATCTGTACAAATTGTAACCTTAACCTGTAACCTTACCTATAATTAAGCACTTAATTTCACAGTCTTAGTACATTTCGTTATTTTTAAAACTTAATCTTCCTGATAAAAGGTAATTTTGCAATGCATTTCAAATATGTAAAGATATTAAGGCTTCGATCACACCCTACGTTAATCGCCATTTATTCATTCAAAATATAAGAAATTGAACGAATGGTTTACCTAGCGCAGACTAAAGTCTAAAACATTTCGTCACTAGAGAACAAATCGGGTAATATAAAAGCTATCAAAAATATCCCGGATTGGATACTTTTTAGACAGCAGTACCTAACGCGCCCTCTAGCGAGCGTTTTGATTTTAGTCCCTGCGGTTTGGTCTAAGCTGAAAATATGTAAGATTCCAGCAAAATACCATGTTTTGTCTATGCCAAAGCATCGCTAGAGTTATGTAATTTGCATTTATAGGTATCTCACTAATTATAGTTATAGTATTAAGTGAATACAAGACTTGTTCCGTAGATATTACTATGTATCGTGTATTCGTGTTTGTCAGGGAATGAGTCTCGAATTTCCGCGTTGAAATAATGCAGGTATAAAGTTGATGTTCCGACTTATGACGTCATATATTCGTACAATCTTCGACAAAACAAATCATTGATTCAATGTGATTATTGTAGTCTAAGACATGTATTGTTTGTTTAAACTAAACTCTTATAAAATATTATCACGTTTACGATTGAACGAATGGTTTTTCCTTTCGTATTACTGTAAAGGTGCCCTTATCTAAAGAGTATCTTTAAAATTTTTGTCGGCGATTGTACATGAAATAATAGAACGACGTAATTGATCATGACATAATTATAGAAGTACAGTAACGTAAAAAAGTATCTGATATGTCGTGCCATATTCTGTGTTCTTGAAGTAAAGTCTTGTAGCGACATCTCGAATAAAATATCATTGAATTAACGTACTATAAATGTATCTAACCATTGCGTTTGTCGTTTTGGGTGACTTTAGTGTATCTTCTTTATAAATTTAACTGCTGCCATAGTACAAGTAGCTATTATATCAATTCTTAATCCGGTTTGAATGACAATAGACCTAGCGGTCTACAAATCGTAGCCGTATATAAATCCGTCTAAGTGGAGAGAAGTATTTTATGAGGTTATTCATTAAACTAAGGGTCTCTCATTATAATAACAAAATATTACTTATTTGTAAGTCAAAAGCACTTGAAGTGGTGCCATTTTAAGCCGGGTACAAACTAGCGAGCTGCAACCGTAACCGTTGCATGTTATGTTACCAAAAATCATAGTGTGTACGTATTTTGCGAGCTTGCCGCGAACGAAACACGTGCAGGTCGCAATGAACCGACGATAACCAGGTAGTCATTCTAAGGAGTGAAGCGTTTCACGCGTACACACTAGAACTAGGGCTCGCTCGAGGTTACGCGATAAATGCCTACCGCTGAGGGTATCGCCGACAGTGCAAGCGCTCAAACATATCTTTTATTCACATTACAATCCTTGTACAACCTCAGCATTCGATTCCGTATGACTGTACACGGCGGGCAACGTTATTTTCACCTCTGAGCGCATGCTTAACCTAAGCAGCAAACCATTTTCTTCGTAGTGACCGCCTGGTCTCATTAGCCATATTTAGTAGGCTATTATACTAACTATTAGGTAATCTGTGCTAGAACCTCGTTATTATCTGTCACGTTGCGTTACAACTGGCTAATGAGTAACCGGCTTTAGGGTGCGCGGACCCCTACGCGGACGCAAGCGAAGTAAATGGGCTACTGCTTCCCAAAATCATTTACAATTGCACCATTTGCACCCGAATTTCCAAACACTAGGGAAAAAATCGGGTTTTTCAATAAGGACATAACAGTTTTGTATTTCAATAAAACGCATAATAATTGCGATATCGAGCTGAAACTTATTCGAGGTGTAATCACATGTTACATTTAAGAATGGAATTCGATCTCGTTCATATGACCACCGCGAGCACGTTTGCAGTTAGCCAAACAATCGATCTATATAAGAGGAAGTTCGATAATTGTGTAGTCTCGCAAAATGGTCCGGTCGTATGGTCACCTCGCTCATGCAATCTAATGCCGTTGGAATACTTTTTACTGGATTACGTTTAATCATTGGTTTATGTCAACAAGGCAACAACTCAAATCAATAACGCGAAATTGCCAACATTTCGTCCGATATGTGAGGAAAAGTGGTACAAAATTGGTTCCAAAGAATTGAACGCTGCAATGCTTGCGGTGGTCATATGAACGAGATCGAATTCCATTCTTAAATGTACATATGTACTGCGCCTGGAATAAATTGCAGCTAAATAATTCCATTATTCTGTGTTTTATTGAAATACAAAATTGTTATATCTCTATTGAAAAACCCTATGAATAACTGAAGTATTCCATTTTGATCTCTTGCCTAATAAAGGGCGCTAAGGTATTCATTGCACCAGGGACCCTGACGTGAAGCTTGACATTTGGGACTTAAATCAGGCAATGCAATAATCAACTTGCTATTACGTACAATTTTTTTAAAAATACAAGAAACCAAGTCTTGTACACATTGCAAGTTTATTTGGGATACAGAAATCGTGACACCATATTAATTTTTGACCTCAAAGTTGGTGTTCTATACAGGCTCTTTAAAGGTTGAACCCCATTGTCAGCTCTGCATTTTTACTTATCATCTTTTATTGCAGTATAGGTTTGATGCTGTAGCGTGCTGATGAAACTCCATATTGTAGTTTTAATGACAATATTTTCTTCATTGAATTCAATAGAATCATCTTTATAAGAAACTGAGGCGATCAGCATTTACAAAAAAATTGTCAATGTTATTCATTTCTACGCTTGAACAAAAAATGTATTATGACAAAATTGTTTTCCCTAAAAAAAACGTAATAGTTCCTGAAACAGTTTCCCTGTATGTCCTATTATACGGTTTCGGATTACCCTATACTGTCCCGATTACAAAAAACACACTGTTCATGGCTATATTTATTTAGACGAAGGCTAAAAAAACGGGTGAAATTACATCACATGGGACTTCTCAAGTAATGTCTGAGGATGACAGTGGCAGTTACCACCAAGTGTCGATTACCACCAAGCGCACGACTTGTTATATGTGGTTAATATGAACAATGTTATAATAAATTCAACCTTTTTTTAGAGTTCTTCTAAATATGTCCATGAAATTTAGGTACTTCCATTAGTGTAGTAGAGAACGACATAAAACCACGCGTCTAATATGGCAGCGATGCTAAACTGTACTGATAAATGGGCTTCAACCCTATAATGCCGCGACATAACGAGTGATAAAATCTAATTTTTGTAAGTTTAAACAGTTCCTCGGTGTTTTGCATCTTTGCACCAAAGTTACCCAATAACTGACAAAACATGTAAATGCAACCATGTTTGATGTTGACGCCGATCCACGTGATAACTGTGTTAAATCAGTACGTAGGATGATATTGTAAAAATACGCCAGACAATAAATTATTTATCACATATTAAATGTTGTGTCTTTTATTTAATAATAATAATGTGCCAACCATCCAAACCAAATTACCTGATCTGAAACTAGAAAATTCCTTGTACTATATTTTTTTTATTTACTTATAATAATAATAATTTATTTTGGTTACAAAATATTTGTTACAGAATCAGGTCTTAGTCAATAGAGGACAAGATCTGTTGGAGACTGGAATCTAAACTAGATCAAGAGATCTGTGTCTCAGGCTTCCAGGCTCCCCAACTCGACCGTTGCTATTAAGTTTACACCAATTTTGCCAGAGATGTTAATAAAAATATATAAAACTATTTTAATTAAACTATATTTCAAAAAGGCATCAAAGAGCAAGTGTATAGAATCGTGCGTGTGTAGGCGTGTATGTGTGTAAGCGTGTTCTGAATTTATTTGTAGGCAATTGAATTCACTCCGAGGTACATACTACCCAGAGCACCCAAACGAGAACCCATTTAAAAAAGGTAATTTCTGAAATTCCTGGAAATCGAACACAGGACCTCCTCATCCAGAGCCGACAGAACAAACCCTTGGGCCACTGAAGTCGTAAAAAAAGCACTTTTTTGCTTTGAAGTGAAAACCTATATAAGTAATTCACATGCTAACTACAACATTAATGTGTCAACTATAATTATTTTACAACACATTTATTGTTCGTCCTGAAAAATGTGGTGTTTCTAAAACGTTATATCCTTTATTTATATACATATATAACGTAGTAATATACATATATGTATAT